TTTGCATCTTTGTCACTCATGTTTTGTGGATTTCCAAAACAGGCTGGGAAAGTGTGTCACTTATTGGTTGCGTACCTGCTGAAAGTGAGTTGTATATTGTATCATGTTTTTTTGTCAGTCATATGTCAGGTGCGGAGTTAATGCAAGAAGGCATGCTTGACCCATTTTTCGTGATATAATTTATGAAAGTAGCAGGGATTATGGTACAAAACCCCCATCATTGTTCATTATGCCATGCCACAGTGCAGCACTAAGGTAGTGCCACGATGACACTGTTGACCCGTGCCATTACACAATGTGTCGCGTTGGTTGGCTCCTCTTGCCGAGTCTGTGAGATAACAGCTTATAAGTTATGAATGGCTGGAAACAACTGATTTAACAACGCCAAAGGACTATCGACAGTGAGAATACAGTTATGCCACAACGGTTATATCAGGGTTCACTAATAATTGCATAAGAAGCCGCAGCAAGAAAGCAAAACAAAAAACAATCATTGGTAACTTAGCCTTAACATCTTTGCCATATTAATGAGAACGTTTTGGCAATCGATTCATAACACTGTTATTTATTTATTTTTGCATGCAACTGCATTTCCAGTTACAAATAATAAAGTAACTGCTGTGCACATCACATGACATCAATGTCAGGGCTACAGCACTGCACATAACGATAAGTCGGCGGTACGGTATTCACATCTTCAGCAGTCCTTGGCAGGTTTCGGTACGAGATTCATGGCAGTCTTCACAGCATATCGTGCTTTGATATTAGTAATCTGCCCTAGAAGCTGGCGATCGCTACGTTGCGTATGTCAACCAGCCCGCCAAAGCTTCTTTAACGACCAGTACCAATACAAAAAATCCGCAAGCAAGCCATTCACTAATCCGCCGCCCAACCCAGCGCCCACGACGAAAATGGGTTGTTGGCGTCAGCTTTCATGCGTTTCGAGGTATTCTTTAGGTCTGGCTGCTAGATGCTGCCAGGTATTGCTGTCGTCACAAAACCATTCCATGACGCCACCAAATAACGACATAATTGGGTGCATTTTTACAAACTTTGAAATTTTGCTACTTAGGATGGCTTTTGCAGCTTGAAAACTAACCAATAGTTACAAGTAAGCTTTCCCGTCATACCTGTTGCTTCTCTGAATATCTTCAAATGTGGAACATTCCCTTTAAGTGTAGAAGTTGAATAAGGTTTCGCTTCAGAACAACACCGTTTGAAAATGCCAGCTGCCAATATTCGCTTTGTAATTTAGATGAAAGTTTCATATCTTTTATTGACACCGTAGATGTGGGATATGTTGATCCTGCCGTTTTTTGTCCCAGGAGAGTTTGTGGTGCTCCTTTTTGGATGAAGTAACTATCCTGTTTAAGCAAGTTTTCTCATGCTACTTGTGGAACGCTTTGCTTTCCATTGAAATTTTCGGTACATTTTGATTTTGACTGAAGCAGAAACTGATGCCTTTTTAATAAGATAGAAACAGTGAGCAGCGTTACTGAATATACAATTATGAAATGGCGCTAAAACTTCCAGATGCCTCACGAAATGATTCATTAATTTATCGTGATTGAAAAGAAAAATCAACTTATACTGACAACAGCGTCAGTTTAACATGAATTCCCATTTGAGATGCTCTATCGATGACACCTTTGTGCCTTTTAACAGCATCTAACCCCGGGTCTTCTGTCATAAAGGCGTACACTTATTCCGTCTACTAATATAAGGTTAACACCATTTTTCGCGAGTGGGCCCCGTAGTTATTTTCGCTGTCCGAAATATTCGTCTTTTTGTACGAAAAGCTTTCTTCCGGTGTTGTTGTCGGTTCAGAAGCTTGCTATAGTATTCTGATATCAGAAGTGTTTGTAGAGATGTAGCTTTCCGTTAATAACACATTTATGCGCTTGATCGTGTGGGCAATCGCTTCAGATCACCGCCTGCACGATAGGTATATGAGGATTGCAAAATTGTATTAAGTATGTTAGTTATATGGTAATATATGTTTATATTTATGAAGGATTGCATTCGTACTAAACGCAGGCGTGTAACGATATTCCAAGACTCCGGCACCCAGATATCTTAACATTCGGATGCAAGCATCTTTAGGTTTGGATTAACTCTGTATGAATTGTGGTTTGAGTACATATGTAACACTTGTTATCGGCAGACACATAAACAAGATATCATCGGATGCTACATAGCCAATCGTAAAACATTCGTTCTGTTGTACCCTTTGGGCGTGCATCAAACTTCCTCGTCCCTTGGATGTCCTGATTAAATTTTCTTTCCACAGATGTCTACAATGCAGCCGACTTTCCGTGCATAAAAACCTCATCGTTGCCCTGATGTTGTGCAATATCATCATGATCATCATATCAGAACCGTTCATCACTCGCCGAGGCGGGAGACCTACAGAGATGTGGTAAGTGGACGCATCATCGTGGACCCTCGTACTGTTATAACCATAACTCCGTGCGCTTCTTTTCGCATTTTTGTTTACTCAGATCGTCCTTTTGTGAAACGTTTCGGCTTCTTAACTCCTGACATTGCATCTTCCTATTGCAAAACATTGTTTGCATCGGATTTTAAATACGCGATTCCTCGTGTCTGCAGTTCGGTAAACGTTACCTGAGTTCGTTCGTGTCCCATTGTTTTTGCTGATGCGATTCCTCGGTCACATATTGATATCATTATTGCTCACATCACATTTCCTTCTGTGGCTCACAGTTTGCACGTCATTACTTCATGATGGCAGCTCCTCGCACTGGATGTGTTCACAATGCAATGATGCCTACCGCATGGCTTCAGACGTGCAACCTTTGCGCCGCATTCGTTACTGGCACCACTCGGACGTGAGCGGTCATCGCACGACAAACAGCACCAGCACGCCAAGACACACAGCAGCGTGCGCGCGGCTCAGTCGGTCGCAGGCCGTCCTTGTCGCGACCGAAAGTGGACTGCTGAGGTTGTCAACATTGTGCACATTGTGCGGGCCGGACCACCGCCCGCCTCAGTCGCGTGACATTAGTTCGGCCCCGCCGACTTCTGAGTAGACTCGGCCGCTGAGAGCTGAGCCGGGCCAGCCGCGCGCGCTACCCGAGCCGGTGCGGTGAGCGGGTTCGGAACGACCCGGGTTTTTGTTTGCTCGCTTGATGAAGATTGGGAAGGATGGAAGTAAAGCTATTGCGTCAAGGAAGCGTTTTTATTTCACTCCAAGCTCTCCTCTGCCGATCCTCGCTAAAATGGGAAAGTTCTTCGATGAGGATAATGACAATAGATCGAGAAGCGAATGCTCACCACCTTACCTTGAAATGAAACTGTTTTTTATCCAGACGGGCATATTGGGCGCACTCAGCCGTTGCGTCGCTGCCGTCGCTACGAACGTGGCGCTTTTCTCACATTGGCGAAAACGATCGGGGCGGACTCTAGACGCACCATTTGTTGCCGTCAAGACGATGATGATGCGGGACAGCTGTAGGCTTCCATTTTGTAGCAGGAAAAGACGCGAGATTCATCACACAAGGCACCCGGGGGTCTGTCTGAGAAGAATCCAAACGTATCTCAACCAGGCAAATTTGGGCGAAAAGGAGAGGCAGAATCCGAGAGCTTCCGTATTTTACATTATTTACTTCAGAATACGGAAACTTGGCCTACTATGCCTTTAGAAAGAGTGTCCAACGCCGTGTCTGTTCAGACGTGATATGTGTCCCCAATGTATGGATCCTGGATGCGCGTCATGAAGCCGAGCGCGCTACGATATGCTTGCACCTCACCACCGGTCTCGATAGCATATCCCACGTCGGCGGGTATTGTAACCCGCTGACATTGATTGTGCGTCCGTCTGCCGTTCGGCAGGGCTGGCTGTGCAAGGCGATCCTCTCGCTGCAAATGTACGGCCGTCTCTCTTCGGTGATGTGGATGTGGAACGAAGGCTTCTTTCTGCACTCGAGAATAACTGTCTCCATATTCGACTCCAGGGCTCCGTTCAAATTTCTCCATTTGGTCGGCTGGGGTAGCCGAGAGCGCTTGTTATTTCTGTGTATGCAACTGGAAACCAGGGTAAGCAGGTACCGGTTATGTCCAGCGTTGCTATTTTAAGGCCAATTGTATATACATATATATATATATATGTATATATATATATATATATATATATATATATATATTACAGGTCTAATTCCATAAGTAAACTGTGTGCATCGGGATTCAGACGCCGTCTGAAAAAAGGCCGGGTGAGTGTAACGTCCACATTCATTTTTCATCGCCAATAATGAGCACCATCGCCACTCAACGGGACACCACCGTCTAGGTATTGCCCATGTACAGCGAAGCGTTGTTTGGAGACGTTTTCAAATTTATAGCGATCACTTTGTAGCGTCATGCGTTTATGTACGCAATTTATGCGAGACGTCACGAACGCGTTGACAAGCCTTCGACGAGTGCGTTGAACAGACTCGGCCTCGGCGTGACCAGGGTCCTGTGGAAAGGTCACGGCAGCCGTTGTTCGTCCCACGATCAGAGTCCTCGCGGTGTTTGAGAGCCGTTCCTTCAATGGCCAGGTCTCTGAGACCATCAAGAAATCCCGGGTATGGCCGACTAAGACCCTTCTCAAATGCACTCTCAGTTTGGAATTGCTGCTTTAAACCATGCGTCTTGGACGAGGTTCAGTCAGTTCGTCCGGAGGCCGGCCATCGAGTGTTAAAAATGAATGGATATTTCTTATTTGGAGAGGTTTTTGGTAATTGGTTAGGCCATTTGACTCAACAGAGAGACCAGCATTGATGAACGTTGAGCTATGAACTGCAACGTTGACAGTAAGCTCCATGCACACGCCGCAGCCAGCCGTGTCGGGAGCGTCACGCCCGGCGTCACGTCCCGTGACGTGCTGCGTCTCCGGTAGGTCTGCCGGCGGCGTTTGCCACGGCCTGGGCGCTGGCGACGGAGCGCGCGCTGCCAGCCAACTGTTGGTTCGGCTACGCCGAGTTGGCCTGCATCTGGCTGCTCATCGCCCCCATGATCACGGCGCTGGGGGTGAGTCGCCGGCTGCGCATCGGAGTGAGACGCCATGACCGGGTCACTTCCGCCAGTGAAGCGGCGGCAGGGCGGTGTCGCAGTGGGGTGGGGCTTGAGTCTCCTCGTGTGGTGTGATGCTGGGACCCGGTCTCCGTGAGTGGTGTGATGCTGGGACCCGGTCTCCGTGAGTGGTGTGATAGCGGGGCAGTGGGACAGGTTATCTCCATGTGTGATGGGACCTGTGGCTGGGTCGTCTCCGTGTGTGGTGTGCGGTGCGATCAGGTCATCTCCATATGTGATGGGACCTGTGGCTGGGTCGTCTCCGTGTGTGGTGTGCGGTGTGGTCAGGTCATCTCCATATGTGATGGGACCTGTGGCTGGGTCGTCTCCGTGTGTGGTGTGCGGTGTGATCAGGTCATCTCCATATGTGATGGGACCTGTGGCTGGGTCGTCTCCGTGTGTGGTGTGCGGTGTGATCAGGTCATCTCCATATGTGATGGGACCTGTGGCTGGGTCGTCTCCGTGTGTGGTGTGCGGTGTGATCAGGTCATCTCCATGTGATGGGACCTGTGGCTGGGTTGTCTCCGTGTGTGGTGTACGGTGTGATCAGGTCATCTCCATACGCGACGGGATCAGTGGTGACGGGACCGGGTCACCTCCGCGTATAACCGCTAAGCGAGACCGGCTGAGGGACCCGGTGAGCTGGTGTCTCCGTGCGTGATGTGAGATGTGACCAGGGATGTATTCGCAGCGCACCAAGAATGTTGTATTCTACGTGACGTCACGTAGAATCTCTGCCGGACTGTGCGCAGCGAGACACGTTTTCAGTTTGCATTTTCGTAACTGTCGTGACAACACTGCGCGGGCAGACACAATATTTTCGTGTCAAGGTGTCCGGAGTGTTCCTAACATCGAAAGCTGCAAATTATGCCGCTTTTAACGCATAGCACACATTTCTATCACTTGCGGTCGGTCCTTGGTGCGCAAATTAACCTCTTTAGAATTGATGTGTTGCGCCATTTTTGTCTCACTCCGATCGAGTCGCGGGAAAAGATTCCGCGCGACCGGCAAATTCCACGGACATCACGTAGAATCTTTATCGTCCGGGTCGCAGCGAACACCAAACGACACGCAATATATGAGCTATGACGTCATAAGTGATGTCGGCATAGCATCCTCGTCGTCGCGGTCGCTACTAATTCATCTCTTTCTGTGATGCGATACTGATGGACCTCCGCATCCGTGTGTGATGCGTTGCTCCGGCTAGGCTACGGTGTGAACAGATCTGGGTCCGGGTATGCCCCTCTCTTCACGTGATAGGGGATGTCATGTGACCAGTTCCGGCGCTGATACGCGAGCCTCCGCGTTCCAGCTGCACTGGGCCGATGAGCCTCTTTCTCGGATAAATATTAATGCGTGGATCCGGTCGGCAGTGAAGGGTGGCAGAGCTGTCATTCCATCTTCATTAAATTTGTCGCCAGGGGAGTGGGGAAGAGGAGGCGGGAAACAACAGAGCGCTCTTGAGGAGCCGAGGGAAAGAAGAGGCTTTTTTATGGGGCGGCTGGCCTGCGGGGCTGAGAAGCCCGAGCCAGCTGGCGGCGACGCTGAACAGCAAACGCGCGCGCGCGCGCGAGGCGCGTCTGAAAGACTGTTCGTGTTTCAGATCAACATGCTGTTCCTCTTCAACGTGGTCCGGATCCTGGTCACGCGGATGAGGAACAACACTACTATGGAGATGGAGAAGATCAGGTAAGGGAGCGCTCGTAGCCAGCGTCACGTGCGGAGCGGAGCAGCTAATGAGCTGAGCAGCTGTCGGGCGGCCAGCTGTCTGGCGGGCCAGCTGTCGGCCACTGACCACTGCCCAAAGGCCGTCACGAATCCACGCGATCCGTTGGCACCCTGCGGATGCGTGTACGGATTGGATAGGACTTCAAGGAATATCTGGTGAGGGATAGGGAATCGGGAACTGATTTGGCAAAAGCCACAGGTGGAGCAAATCGACAGCAAAGACAAATCGACAAGTCGGCCGGAGAGGCGTCGACGTCACCCCTGACCTCCGAGACTTCAGGAAATTTTGTGCATGGTGTAACTGTGAGTGGGAAATCTGGTTCTGGAAGGTTAAGCTCAATGAGATCAATGCTTTATGACGATGGCTTCAGAACGAATGGTTCACGAGCTCTTAACTTTAGTCAATTTTATCAGGCTACGCCAATGGTATTTTCGGAACAGCGTATCCCCTTACAAGAACATTAAATGGCATAGAATGGTGCTCCGTCAACCCCGTAAAAATTCAGTTTATCATTACACGCACAGTATTTTAACTGCGCGACTGTTTGCCATAAAGCACATCACCAGAGGTACGAGGTTCATTTCCACACGGTGTCCATACGTTCTGCCAGGGTGGGAGGCAGGCGCCACTAAAAGCCTCAGCAGTTGATTGCGTCGTAAAACCCCATGACACAGAACGTAGGGAGGGAACTAGGTGATTATACTTTATTGCTTTTTATCAGGTCATTCCACATGTATTAGGCTATTTTCAGGCTTCTATAAACAGGTGCGTAGACAGTCACAACGCGACAAGCAAAACCACGACACAAGAAGACTTGTACAAGATATTAAAATGTCAGAAGCGTTGAATAATCTCGCGAGCACTGGTGTCGAAAGTGGAAAGGGGCAGGTCCACCCTGCCGCTACTGATGATACACTCGTACATATGCGCAATTCGGTAGACATATGCTCGCTTTCCATTATTGTTCTTGGAGCGAGAAAGTGACAAATGACCAGACTGATGCCGAGCTGATACTGATACTGGACTCGGTGTTTTCTTGGCTGCAGCGGAGCGGACAACGTGTGGTCTCTGACTCGCTGTTGGTCAGTTTTGTTTTGCAAAAGACGCAGATCGAAGAAGTTATGTAACCACTGGGTCCTAAGCCAGCCCAACCGTCGCAGAATATCCGACACATGGTCAAATTTAAGTCGTTTGGGGATCACTCAAGATGCGAAGTTAGACACACTCTGCAATTTGGCAACAGTCATGCTGTTTGCGCTGTCACAAACCTGAGCGTAAAAACGGACACGGGGGAACACAAGCACTCTCGTAATGCGCGGCGGAACATTAACACGCGCCCGGTTGGCCGGCTAGATACCCTTTGCTCGGGTGAAGGAGGGGGTCAGTTTGACACCCCCCCCCTTGAGATCTCGGGAACTAAGAAAGCTAGAGACACCAAATTTACAGGGTGCCTTGATCTGGACATAAACTCATTTAGGTCAAAGTTTGAGCTTCCTAGGTTATGACCGTTAGGTCAAATAAGGTCAAACAAGGTCAAATTCCAGGTTGGTCTCCAAGTGCCTCCAGGACCGAGGCAACTGTTTCTAATCAAAAGGTCAATAGCCCATCTGAGGTCAGTGACCCTGTTTGACCTTTTAAAGGTCATGGTGACCAAAATCACACAAGACTGCTCTGAGTTTTGCATTTAAATAAGCGACAAAGATTACGCTAGATTACGTTCGTAAAATAAAATGTCGACCCGGGTCATCTTTCTGTAAATGACCTTTTGCGACCTCTAAGAAGTCAATGGAAGATGTATAGTGCGGTTCCTGCGGTCAATAAATTCGAAATGAGCACCACAAACTATCCCATACAGCAAGCCCAAAAGTAATAAAACAGGTTGGTTTTGACCTTGGTCTGACCTTTATACCTGACCTTAGGTCAGCTTAATTTGCTCGTTCAATATTTGTGGTGCCTAAGAAAGCATCTCAGAGATGTATGGCTTCGTCAAACACTCCGTTATCGTAGGAGATTGGACGATTCCCTAGAAATTGCCTTCGCTGAAACCATGGCCTGGCTTTGACCTGACATAGGTCAGCGGCCTTACGAGGCACGTATAAATTTCTGGTGTCAAACGATCCGCTATTCAATTTTCTACAGCTATACAAAATTTGGCGCGGCTACGCCGCGCCGTTCGGAACCCATTTTGGAAAAACCTGCAGGGGGAGGTCAATTTGACCTCCCATCCGAGCGCGTGTTAACAGGTAGCACATGTGCGGCATCTAGAAAAGCGACAATGATATCAAAGCAACGACTAGCCACAGGGGTGACGAGCAGCTCTCAGGACAGTGCAGGGCTCATGATCACACCAATATTTTCCATCTGGGGATCGGAGAGACATAGCTGCAAACAGGGTGGCGTGTGAGTCATGGCAACTCGGCCACTGTTGCCAGCGTCGAGAGTGGCAGCCACTGTTGCCCCTCTTCACGCTGGCAACAGTGGCTGTGATGCTGTATGATTCAAAACACTCCAGTTGATGTTTCACTGATGAGTTTCAACATTAGTCTTTACTTTACCATTGCTTTGTCGGCTGCGTGGAGTTGATTTCATGCAGTTTTGGATCGGGCGCTGTTTTTCGAATTGATTGGAGGCATTAAAAAAACCCTCTGGTAGGTGCGCTTGCCAGCCTATCATTTGATGAGGCATCCACCTTATATTTAGCTCCTCCTGTTTTGTTTATCACGCATAATGTACTTCGTGCTCCGATCCATGTCGGTCGCCAGATGTGAAGGTTACTGTTCATTGTTCAACTATGTGCATGTGAGGTGTTGTTTGCTACGTTCTCGTTGAGCTGACAGCCTGACAAATTGTACATTTAGAAACTCAGGGCAGTTGTTGGTGCTGGTACCAATGGTGTACCCGTTCCGGTTCAAAAAGAGCTTTGCCTTTACCAATAATCGAATTTCGTCGTAAAAAATGAGCCGTGCCCTTACTGTTAATCGAGTTTCTCAAAGATTCTGTATCCAACCCGTACATTTCCCGTCCAGGTTGTGTACCCGCTAGTGTGCCACAGCGCGGAGAGACGGCTATTTCGCACTAGACATTCTGTCTGTGGTGTGGTCTTCGAAAATGGTCAAAGCTTGGCTGGAACCCATTGCATGCAACACCCTTGCATTTTCAATCCTCCTGGCAGATTTTACCAAATCTCGCATTCGTTGTGGTACTCATACGCGTACGACTTGAAATTATCTGGGTTAGTCATTTTGTTTTGAAACTGGGGCCTGGTGGCTGGCTTGACAAATATTCCAAGTCGCGTGAGCCGGATGGCGGCGTTGCGTCAACCGTTGGGCCGTTGGACCTGTGTCTGCGACAACCGTTGGGCCGTTGAACCTGTGTCAGCTTGCTTCGATGTGCAGCCCGCCTGCTTGCGCAGTCTGCTGTGGCGCTACGTAGAATAACGAATCTCGCTCCCCTTTGATGCCAGAGTGGGGTAATTCTAACAGACCATCCTCGGCAGATTGGGGACACCAACAGCTCGTAAGATAGAGGCGCCTAAGCCGCCCAGTTTCGAACGGCCTTGTGAAAAGCCCGGGCTTTGAATCAGCCACGTCGCGTTTGCAGTCCCCTGGTGCTTCGCCGGTCTTTGTTGGCATCTTGATGCCACGTTCCATTTCCAGCGCTTTGTCGGGCTCGAGAGGCGTACTGATGCCCTGGTTAAGTCACATGATTTCGCCTCCGCGCTGTCCTTCAGCGCAACGGACTACTGCGATGTTTTTTTCTTCCGCGTTTCCAGAATTTTACCACCAGTGGTTTAGCTGGTGATAACTCTGATGCTCTCCGTTCATTTCGGCTTCACATTGCTGTCGCTCCTCAGGGCCATGCTGACCATTTCTTTGGTTGCCCGTAACTACTTTGGGAGAAGGGCGCCACAAGGCTATGCTTGATTTGCTGTTTCGCTGTGGTGCCCTTTTGAATTGCGCTGATTCTCGACTTAAAGTTGGCTGCCCTTTACTCATTAATCACGTATATGAGCGGCATCACACTTCAAGCGACCCCGGCCAGCCAGGCGCATAGCCAGAATTTGTGACGAAATTGGGGCTATCAGAATTTACGACGGGACGATGGGTGGAGGGGCTACAGTTTTCTAAGGTAGCGAATTAGACACATCTACAGCATGCTTACGCGCTGCCAACAGCTTGCATTCCCCATAACTCCCAACAGGTACAGTTATCAAGTTATCAATGACCCATTCATTTTGGGTTTCCTGGCGCCGAAATCATTGTCTCAGCTACGTACCACGCATAGCCACTCGCGGTTTGCAGTGCACTCGTGACTGAATTACTGTCGCTGGTTTGAAGTATCACTGCTTTGTATAGTGACACTGGTAGCCACTGATATGTAAGACTTAAATTATTTTCCTGATCGCAAAATGACAGATTATATTCAGTAGTGTTGTGATGGAAAAATGTATCGATTCTGACGGAGGTGGGAGGTGGGGAGAGGAGATATGACATGGAGAAGCGCACTGATTATGGCTCCAACTCGCGCACCATTAGCCACTCCAGTTCGTGCCTGAGCGGGGACAGTTCGCGTGCGCAGCCGCCAGCTCTCGCGATGGCCGCACACACGCATACAACGGCTTTGCCGAGCATATCTAGTGTACCGGTAGTGAAGGGTAGCGAGTAAGCTGCGCGCTTAGGAAACCCGAGGCACAGAGTACGAATCCCCGCGGTGTCCGTCTTTTTGGCCTGGGTGAGAGGCACGCAACATCATGTAACCTAAGAAGCTGAATGCGTCGTTAAGTTCCGATGACAACGACCAGGTCCATACGCTCATTAGATCCGGTGTGCCAATATTGAAGTTGGCGACACTTGCCATTCAGCAGCGGCGACGAGCGCAAGAAAATCGCTCGTGCGCGCACCCCGTGCACGAACCACCCAGAGCAGCTCGTGCACGTACCACCAAGAGCATATGTTGCACG